TTTAGTTTCAGGAACACGAGTGGCCTTTTAGCAGCATTTCCTCTTGACAGCTTAATTTAGGGTCTGTCCAAATAGCAAGTCATTGCTATCCTCCCACTCCAATGGAAACTCTTACCCAACTACTTTATAGCGAGGCCCTTTAACATTTAGCATCCCCTCCCCTGCACGATCCAAACCCAGTAGCCATCTAGAGCCAACACCAGACCGCACAGACACATGTGTGGCCATAATCATCGGTCTGTAGTCAGAGCAAGCTTATAAGCAGTATTTAGACGGCCCGGAAATTATCTAGCCCTTGTTCCGCCGAGATATTCAGTCACCTTTCCTCTAGACCTAAACAGCTGCGCTTCAATTAACAGAGCAAATGCCCCAAAGCCCCGGTGGTGCAGGAGCTGCCATCTCAGTGGGGTTAGGGAAGCAGTTAAGAATTCTTAAACCCAAATCAAGGCTAATCCCACCCAGATCATCCTCCGGCACATGAATATTCCACCACAAATTCACATCGTGCTGTTTTTTTGTCCACATTAATGCGGTAGCACTTTTTGAAATAGTTACTGTAAAATAGCATTGGCAGCGTCTCCATTTCAGGCCTACATAGGAACTAGGACGCTAACGCAATCTGGTTTCTGGGGAAAAATAATAACGAGGTTATGCAGACCTAGGAGGACATTTCCTTCTCTATATTTAACTCAATAAGGAATGCAGAAACTATGTATAAAAAAAATAAATCAGCATAACTAATAAAGCCATTTTGCATTTTTGTAGCAGATACAGAACTGGTATCTCAGGCACGTAAAAGCGCCTGGCAAATAACCGGCTGCCCTAACCCAAAGCACCGCACCGGCTGCGGGAAGAACACAGCCGGAACAGCACTAGCATCGGCCTAGAACCGCTTTCTCCACTACATCCCTGGTGTTAGAGCAGCCAAACTAGACTATTTCCCAGGTTCCCAGTTAGAGCTAGGGCTTATAGAGTTAACTAAGGCAAAAGGAAAATAAGTATACTGCGCAGATTCTGCCCAAGGGTAGAAAGCGAACCCTGAAGTAAGTTCATGTGCTGACCAGCTCAGAGAGACAGATGCTTCCTATACCATTTTCATTCATATGGAACGAAGTTAGCTACGTGCAGGAAGCGTTCAAGAATCTTCATCGAGTACCTTACCACGCTGCATTACGTAGCTATGCAAATCAGATATTAACAGAGCACAAGGAATACGAATTCTGACATTAACTTTCAAGATGAAAGGGCACAACTGAGGAACAACCAAGGTTTCAGAAGGCAGCAGTTTAAAAATTTATTAAATAATTCTTCAGCTGCGAGACAGCTGCCACGGTCCTCCTCTTTGTTAAATCGCAGAGGGAGTTAAGAGCAGCGATGGTGTAACGCCAACCTGCACGACTCGAGATTTCTGTCTCTGGAGGAGCCTCAGAGGACAGTCAAGTCCTCCCTGAAGAATGCCACGTTGAGTATTTTGCTCTGAGGAAAGGTGTGGAAAGGAGCAGACCGGAGCGTTATCAGTCCCACAGTGACAGCTGTACTACAGAGGAGGAAAAGAGTTTTCCTGCAGCTAGACTTTCCTCAATCCATTCCAGGAAATCTTCAAGTTACTTCACAGCAAATAAATCACACTCCCTTAATTTGCACTTTTTTTTTTTTTTAAAAAAAAAGGATTGTTCAAACCTCTTCATGTTCCAGCAACAGCTCATCTGTTATACCCAGTATTTGCCCCATCTGTTCTTTTTTATGCTCAGAATCTTTGTGTACCCAGCAAGTAACCTGCTCGTTTCAATAAATACAATCCATCTTTTTGTTAGCTAACCTGAAAGATACAGGAGAGTTATTTTCATCTGTTACCCATATCACAGACCCCCTGTCCTGGCATCTCATTCCTATTTATA